TGCGCGCGCGTGTGTGTGCGCGCGCGTGTGTGTGCGCGCGCGTGTGTGTGCGCGCGTGTGTGTGCGCGTGTTTTTTTTCTTTTCTAATGAAATGGTAGTGTCCAAATATTGAGTTTTTATTTGGCTCATAATATTCAATTTCAGTTATGTGTTTTTTTCATTTATACATTTTTCCCTTCAGTCCCTTGAAAAAGGTATAAGTGAAATTTTACTGTACCTTTTTACTGAATCTTCATTAAACACTTGCAGATGTATTGGAACAAGTACAGGAAGCTCTATCCAATATTACTGAAGGGGTTTGCCATCCAATGAAAGTGAGAATTGAACACATCCTAGCATCAGAAATGAAACCAACAGTGCTATATGGAATAACCAATTTAGTTCGTTTTTACCATCAAGTTATAGGCCAGGTAAACAACATCTCTTAATTATAGAATGAAATGCAGTTGCTCAGTCTTATCTCTGGAATTTTAAGACTGACTTAACTGAAAATAATAAGTTTATTGATTCACCACCATTGCAAAACCTAAGACAGATTAAACAATTTAATGTTGCAGTATGTTACAACTTTGTTACTAACATATTGCATTTATCGAAAACTTGAAAAAAATTCCAGCTCTGAAAACAAAGTTCTAAATAAACATTTTTAACCAGTCTTAGAGTGAAATTGAGATATTGAATTTTAGACTATGAGTATTCATTTATGAGATTATCTTCATTATGAGAGGTTTCTGAGGCAATAGATTTTGGTATTATTCACATATCTTCCATTGAGGTGATCTTACATTTTTACTTCTCTCAGCTTGACTTGCAATGTCAAGTGTTTCTTCATTTTTCACAGTTTTAATTTTCAAACTCGCAGTGCTACAGAATAACATAGACTTTCTTGTACTAGACAGAGTTGTAAAAATCTGGTTTTACTGTACTTAAGCTTGACAGGATTGAATTGAGTATTTTAATTTCTGTGTTACCATTTTTTCCATAGCAAACAATGCAACATTTTCTTTTCAGCACTAAAATTAATCTTCATCGAACTTTTTAATGAGCAGTTTTTTTGAAATTAATTATCACTACACAAAATGTTGTAAAACATAATATTTTCAGTATGCATCCGTTAACACAATGGTCAGGTTTACATCCATAAAATATTGATATTAAGGAAATAGTGTTTTATCAAAAAACATGATTTTTTAAAAATTTCCTTCATTTTTCAACTCTCTAATAGTAGAATAGAAATTTTACTTTCAGAATATCATTGAAAAGTGAAACCTGGTTCTATATGTAAATTTTCATTAAAAAAGTTTGAGCCATTTTTGAGAAAATGTCTGAGCATTTCTGAAAATGCACAATTTTGAGCTCATTTTGCAGAAAAGTTTTGAGTTTTCAAGAAACTTCATTGGAAATCATTTGAAGTAAGTGCAATTACAAATTTAAAAAAAGGCTCAAAAATCTTTTAAATCTCAAAATTGAATTTCTGTAGAATTTTCTAACTCTTTCCAATTTAACACATTTTATTTCATTAGATACTCAACACTGATATTACCTCAATAGTGAAAAACCCATTACATAGGACATAAAGCAATTATCTGTAATTACTGCTCATCGCATACTGTTCCTACTCAACTGAACATGTGGGCAGTAGCATGAATAAGTTCTCATTGGCAACCTCATACCCTAGTGTCTTCTGCAAAACAAATTATGGAAATAGGAAGCAAATCATTTTAGTGGTGAGCTGGGATATTTCTGGAAGAGTATTTCTGCTGATAAGTATACCTTCTTGCGAAGTCTTTGCCATGGGTGTAATGAGAGTAAAACTTGTAAATTATGTGACTCGTGACTTGCGAAGGTTGTCATTGTGATTCTTTTACTCATAAGGGAAAAAATTCATCTGGAACCAATATTCAAAGCAGGAAACATGTCTTCTATTTGCAGGAAGAAAAGAACATTATTTAAACATTGGATTCAAGATCTCCTCATATTGCCTCATAAGAGCAAGATCCTCTGAAACGCATGTCCTCTTGTGAAGAAGATCAATTTGATTTCTTTTTCGCTTCTTGATAATACGTAATTATGGGAGAGTAATAATAAATAAATATAAAGAACTAATCAAGCTTTTCAGTACTTACGAGTTTAATGGAAATGGATCCTAAAATTGTTTGTTTTTTCCTTTCTGAACAAATATGACCAAAATGTAGTTATGAGGTTTGCTAATTAGTATGTCAAAAGGAATAGGTGTGTTACCTCTCTTTTTTTTCCCATCAAGCAAGCTCTTTGATATTTCAAGAATTTTGTTTGTGAAAAATAAACAAAAATGTTAGTTAATTTTTGTTTTTAAATTCATAATTTACATTTATTCTGATGTACTGTAGAATCAAACACTATAATTTAGCATTGTAAGCTTTTATGGATGGAGTCAATATCAGAGAAACTTTCCAAGCGGGTTGGCTATAGTCCTAATAGCATTGAAGGGCCAAACTTTTGTCCGCAAGTATGGTGGCCACCCTCAGTGGCGGAAGTGACTCGGGCACCATTGAGAATGTCCACCATATCTGTGGATGAAACAATTGGACCTTCAACACCAACTGGGCCATGGCCTACCAGCCCAGAAACTTTCTCTGATACTATAATTTAAGTTAAGAAAGATTTAAATGGTATTCCCTGAAGTTATTAGTTAATAGTTCAATGTAAATTTTAATTAACTTTTGAAACATTATTCTTTCTCTGATTTGCAGGCTATATCTCCCCTTACAGAGTAGCTTTGAAACAAACTATCTCAAGGCAATTTCTCGAATTAGTAAACAAATAAACTAATAAATAGGTTCAAAAAGGAAATCTTTCTTGAATATGTAAATGATATAGCTTTTTTTCCCTTTATTTTAAAATTAACTTGTTCAAGGGAGAAAAATATATTTTTAAGGTGTCGTTTGAAAGCTGGAAGCCTTAATATCTGCATCTGTAGTTAATATGTTTGTGAATGTTATATAAACCATATTAATATGAAAAAAATATATTTTTGAAATGTCAACATGCATTTGGTGACACGGTAGTATTTGGGGACAGGTAAAGCAGTACAGGATGAGGGGCAAGGAGCAAGGTGGGTCTGAGTAGGCCAGGGCATGCTAGAGCAGAGCAGGCCAGACTAGGGGGAGGATACTCTGAAGAAAGAATGCATTCCTTTCCATGCCTGAGTAAGTAAGGTATATAAATATGCAAGAAAATAAAAGAATTCAGCTTTAAACTTCCTGTGTGATTGAATCGCATGGGTTTCCACTAGGATCAGATACGAGCCATACTCAGCAGCTAGTTTGTCAATACACAGTTTGTATTACATTCCAGGGAAAATTTTTAATTCATAATTAAACTTAATGTTAGAGTGGGAGCAGGGATTCTAGAGCTGAAGAAAATAGTCATAGATAGTGGTTCTCCCTTATGTGTCACTTAGTTTTTAATTATATTTTGATATTTCAAAACTAAATAAAGATCCCCATTGCAGAAAGATCATAACTTTTGTGTCAAAGAAATATTTAGAAAAGTTTGTATAAAAATTATGCAAATTGTTCATTTCTCTGAGTGACACTGGTTTTAAAAATACTAATGCATATTTTTATCCCCAATTGCTAGGTTGTTTCAGGCGGTACATTGATTACAACTTTAGAAGATTTACAAGAACTCAGTCAGTCTACATTCCTTTCAGTTTTAGAACTGGAAGTAAAACAACATTTGGGAGTTCAGGTGGATGGTACTACAGTATCCCCTTCAAATTTGACTCCTCCGACTGATTTGGCTCCACCTCCAGCAATTGCTCGGCTGTTGGGAATTTTGAAGGAAGTTCTGGCTGTGGCTAATGTCGCAGAAGGTCGAGCGGAAGATCTTACAAAAGTAAGACTGTAATTTTGGCTACAATGAATTTTTAGACTCTTAATTACAAGTATTTTAATAGTGTGTGTATGTACTTGTTATATTGTGAGAAAGTATGTGATGTAACATTACTAGTTAACATTTGTATACTGTGTGTGTGCGCGCGTGCATGTGCATGTTATTGAACTGATATACTGATCTTTTTGAACATTCCGTTACATTTTGCTGGGGAAAGGGGACAAGAGGAGGAGACGAAAGATTTCATCCTGTAGATTACAGTATGAAGCACATTTCTTCAAGGCCGTTGGCCTCAAAATTATACTTGCAATGCTCTACACTCCGTTTAGGGGTTATTTAATGATATACATTCAGAAAACTCCTGCCAAGTGTGCTGAGGGTTCCATTTGACTTCAACATTTAGTTTTGTTCTGCAGCGCCATCTAGTAATTTTTTCCAGTATTTTAATAGTTATTCTGCTATTCAGGGTGGAGATGAATTTAACAAATCAGAGATAATTAAAATTGGTTCACTCTTTCTTGAGTTATAAATGCTGTAACTAATCCAACTTGGTTATATATAGGTGTTTGGGAGGAAACATCAAAACTTGGCATATACACTCTTATGACAATTTTAAGCATATTTTGTCTAATAAACTACATGTATATTCTGTTGAATGGCTTAGCCACTATAAGTACTCAAAAGTTGGTTTGAAAAAATGCTTTGTAGGCAAAACTTTGCCTTGCAGAATCAAAGAAACACTCCAAAAACTTGTAAATTGTTTATTATTTACAAAAGCAATCAATATATTTGTTTAGAAAGAAAAATTAACCCAGAAATAGAAAAGCAGTTGAATCATGTAAATTGGATGCTTTTTTCTTTATTAATTTTTCTTTCTGAACAAATATATGAATTTCTCTTGTAATAATAAACAATTTGCGTGTTTCTTGAGTGTTTCTATGCTATGATGCAAATTTTTGTCTAGAAAGCATTTTTTCAAACCAGCTTTTGAGTGCTAATTGCGGCTCAACCATTCGGAATATCCTAGTTTATTAGACAATGTGCTTAAAAAATTGTCTTAAGTGCTTATTTGTGAAGTGTCGATGTTTCCTCCCCGGGCACCTGTATATAGTGACAGATAAATAGGCAAATGAATTGCATTATTCGCATTGATTGATGTAAGGTAAGCTCTCGCGGAAACGTTAGAGGTCAGGGAGCTCCTGGGAAAATATAAATGATGTGATGAAATCACAAGTGATGAAATGTGAGTGAAATGAGAGAAATCACCAAAGTGATGAAATGGTTTCTTAACAAGCGTAGGTAGCGACTACTTCGTGAGCTACTTCACGGGAAGAACACTGTTGTACCTCACGGCGGATGGGCAACAGACCCACAAGTTACCGGAGGTGTTCCACAGGGCTCCGACATGGGCTCCATACTGTGGAACATAATGTTCGTCGGCGTTGACAGACTAGATATGCCGGAAAACATCTGTTTCATGTGTTTCGCGGATGACATGCCTCTCACTATAGGCGGCACTAGATGGCAGCATTTGAACAAATGAGAGAAATTTGAATCTGATGAATTGTCTGTATTGTAGAATCTCTGGGATTGCTAAGAAGGTGGAAGACCTTTCATCTAATTTGAAAATGTGTCAAATATAGTATATTTTGAGTAAAGTGAATTATATTCAAGAGGATAATGTCAAGCTGATGGCAAGGTATGATGCAATTTAATCAATGCAACAGAATGTTAATGTGGAAATGAAAACCACTATAATTTTCGAAATTAAAAAGTTTGGGGAAGCGCAAAAAATGATATATTTCTCCAAGATCACGCAAGTGGTCACAGAAAAGATAGAGAAAAGAAACTATGCTTAAAAATATCGCCTATGGAATTCAAGATAGAAAGTTAGAAATTCTTCTGCTGAGAGGAAGAAAGAAGACCTTCGAAAATTCAGAGAGATACTCCAAAGATCTTAACTCCAGGAAAAAGCTACTAGCAGAATTTGACTCCAGCATCTTGCTAGCCATATGTCTGAGAAAGGCCAACCCTACTAAAATTTCGACCTCTGAAGATGATGTTGAAATTGGCGGAACTTTTAATGAGCTGTTACAAAGTAACAAGGAACTGCCCCACAATACTGTATTATGAGAATATTACCCCTTTACAGCGTGAAGAAGTCAGGGAGTGAGACTGAAGTTGGCAGAAAGACATAAGGATGACTTGGATGCAACTCTAAAATATAGGAAAGGTATACCGAAAATCAGCTGTCGACACACTTCTCAATACAAAAATTAGCAAAGGCAGTTGGATTGGAAACTTTTTTCCAAAAGATTCTATGTACTTAATGTATCATCCCTTATGTCTTAAGTTTGATATTTTTGTCTTCGAGGGTGATCAGACGAAACCAGTCATTGGCCTTACAAAGACATGGTTAAATTCGGATATTGCAGACTCACTGATAAATATTACAGTGTAGTGTTTAGAGGAAGGATACAGGGTCACAAGAGGAGTGGCTGTTCATGTTGAGCAGAAGTTAGTAACTAAACATATTATGATAACCAGGCTGACAGAACTCGAAGATATAGATGTGGAAGCTTTGTGGGTGTGTCTACGAGGGATTTTCAAATTATAATTGGTGGGTATATAGACAATGGACTTCCGACGTCAATATGAGTCATACGGCAGATACTATTTGAAACTATTGACAGCATGTAATGAATATGAGCTGATGGCTATATACGGAAATTTTAACTTTCTTATTATTACGTGGTTAAAGTACGGTGTACGTGGCTGGTAGGAAGTGGAATGTGAATTATTATGGGTCTTCAATGATTCCAATATCATTCAGGTCATAACTGAACCAACGAGGATTAGAGCTGGCCAAAATCCATCTGTATTGGACTTGCTGCTTGTGACAGATGAAAGCATTATTACTCCACATAGTATGAGATCAAATATTTGTTTGAGTGATCACACAGTGATAACATTTTTACAAATAAAAATCTTCCGTACAGTTACAGGGCTGATGCCGAAAAAGTTGCATTACTACAAAGCTGATTACAATTCGATAAAGGCAGACCTGGAATCGTATATTAATGGGTCCTTGAAGGTTGCCCAAGGATTACGATAGTTACGAAGAATACACCAATTACTGAATGCTTACTTGCCGAGTTTTAAGGTATGGTGAAATATAAATAAACACTGGATTAATAGAGAGATAGTGAAGAAATTGAAAGCAAGGCAAAGGGCGTGGATTACTTCTAGAAGGACAAGAAAGGATGAGGATTACAGAATTATCTAGGGATTAATAACAAGATCATGAAATTGAATAGACAACAGAAGGCGAAATATAAGGGAGATATTATCCTGGGTGTAAAAGAAGCAAATGTACTTGTATATTAGAAGACTATGAACAAAACTGGCCCCCTGATGTGTTTTGGTGTAGGAGGTAAATTGATATCTGATCAGACAAGAATCACATAGGTTTATGTGGATTACTCCATGTCCGTCCACTGAACCGGATTGTTCCCTTCCAGCTTTGCTCCATATATTTTCACTCTTGAAAACATGGATACCTCTACGATAATGGTTGCTCAGACACTATGTGGACTTGATGAAAGCTTATCTGCAGGGCTTGATGGCATCCCTGCCGTATTTCTGAAATAATGTGCAACACAGGTCGCTCTTACTTTGACAAAAATCTTTACAGAGTCACTGAATATGGACAATGTCCTGCAATAGTTGAGGACCTTTTTAAAAAGAGACCAGTAACTCTGACTGTCAGTCTGACAGTGGAGAAGGTAAGGGAAAGGCTTATTGTGCGTGAGCTGTTTAACCATACAATGATCAGCGAGGTTATTCTGTGACAACACGATTTTATACAGTAAAACTTGCACAATGTGGAACGTGTATTTAACGTCTAGTACCTTTATTAACATAATTCCAAAAAGATTTGATATTATGATTCAGAAAATTTTCAGGAAAGTAATATATTTCTTATTAACAGTATGTAGTAAATTTTTACACTTTGCTCAGAGTTTAGAAAGTTTAATTTTTTCAGTTGATTTATAATCAAAGTAGGCTTTTTTTTTTAATTGAAATAATTCCCAAAGTTCATTATTGTGAATGAGGGTACAATGTTCAATTTTAAAAAATGACACTTTTTGGAATTGTCTCTACTCTTAGATAATACTCTATTAATTTTAGGGTAAAATGATTCCTCAACTGTCATTGATTCCATGATTGACCAGTCATTGCACAATAATTCATCTGTTCAGGATTGAATATTTGAGCCACGAAAATCTTACAACTGATCTTCAATTTGGTAATAATTAAGATTATCAGGAAGGTTCATTTCAACTAAAGGTTGCTGAAGAAGGTTGACCATGTATTTGAAGACATATAAATTTCTGCTATAAAAATAAACAGGATGTATTGGAAAAAAGGGGCCATCATTTAAAAAAGCCAACTTAAGTTGTTAAGTGAGATGATGCATAATTTCCCTAGTTTATTCCAACTTTTTTTTATCTTCCCAGTTATTATAAAATGGTCTATTGTTAAGATCTTCATTATTGTTTCTTTCTCTATCACAAGATGATTAACATATTATAAAATGACCTTTTTTGCTGTGTATTGTATTATTTAGTGCTTGAATTTGATGCATAGGTTGTATCATGCGTCATGAATCCCTTGCTTCAAGCTGTTAACGAAAGTGCAGCTCGGCTACCAAGTGTAGATATGGCAGTATACTTGCTGAATTGCATGTATAGCATGCATACTACTCTCTCTCTGTACGAGTTTGTGGATGAAAGATTAGAGAGACTTCAGGTATGATTATAATAAAATGTATATTCTTTATTTCTATTATTTTCTATGCTCAATGGTTAACTTTTAATTTCTAGGCACAGTCTGATGCTCAACTTGATACTTTAGCTTCTGAACAGGCTAGTTCCCTTGTTGCCAATCTCAACCTTGGTCCAATTTACACTATACTGCAAGATCCAAATCGTGGAAGTCTGTCATCTATTCCGGGCATGGAACCAAATAGTTTAAAAAATTTTTTGGTGAGTAATCTTTTTTGTCAGTATTGTAGGTGCACTTCGATTTCCATGATGATTAAAGATATTGTTTATCTTTTAAATATATTAAACTGACAGTATATATTCTGCAAAAACAATAACTAATGTTATTTTTTTGTTTTTGCGAACTAGAACAAATTAGAAGGTTTCTTGGTGGTGCCAGATGCTCTAGTTCTTCCCCAAATGAACCTTTTGTTAAGTAGCAACCACCGAATCACCACTCAGAGAAGAGCTTTTGAAGTTATTGTAACAGTATACCAACAGTTATATGATGCTGTTCATGATCCAGCTAATGGTTACCAACATCCTGATCTTCTAATGACCCGATCACCTCAAGAGGTGACTCATATTCTAATGAATTCTTAAAATAATGTTTTCCTGCTTGTGAATTTTGTTGAAGGAAGTAAATTAATATGTTACAATGGAGCTTTTTCTTTTAAAAGTTGGTACTGTGATGGTTCCCCTGTAATCTCTCCCTTCCAAATGTTTACACACACCCTTCTTTAATAACCATCAGCTGTCTACAAGAGTACTAGCACTCCACTACTGTAGCATCTTTGTGACAAGAAAAGAAAGAAAGCAGCGCTCACCACCAGAGAAATTTATTTATGCCTGGGTTGTGAGAAACATGCCCCAATTTGGTAAGTGTGTTTCCCTCAGGTGGAAGGAATCTTTTAATGTACTTCATGTAGTAAAACACTTAGAATCTGAAAATCAGAGAACATTTACTTCCTTGATTCACTTAAGGCCAAAAAGTTTTGATGGCGTGTGGTACTTGCAACCTTGATGTACAGGGGAGCAACGGAGGGGTTGAATGGGGAACTGGAGGGGTTGTACCAAGCTTGCAACGCTTCCTCGCTCTCACTTTCTTGTGAAATGTAACTTTAACATGCATTGAAAGCACTATAGACCTTGTTGGCAGCCATTTGAAGTATATGGATAATGAGCCAAGATCATGTAGAAATCCTGTTTAGTTAAATCTAGTCTTGTGGAGGATTTAATGATAATCCAACTGCCCACCATTTCATCAATTCACAAGTGCTTTCAGAGAGATTCTGGTGCATACTGAATTACATGAAACATGCAGAGACAACTGTTTATTTCTTGACAAAGTATCAATTTTGTCTTCAAATAGAGGTTGTGCAGATAAGGCAAGAAGGTGTCTTGGAAAAACCACCTTTCTTAGAATGAATCAGAAGCAGGCTGTTGAGCTGCTAAATTATTCCCTGCCAACGGGAAAATATTTGGAGCAAATGACCCAGAGAAAGGAGAGAAGGGCATTGACTTTGCTTTACCTGCCGGAAATGATTTGTCAATTATTTCTTGGGTTATAGTGGAATACAATGTTAGCTTTGTTGTGCACAGCTTGAAACAGATTTTGTGTGAAAGCAGTTCTCAAGTTTTGCAAAAAGAAATGCCTCAGCATTCCAACCTCGCCCCACCATTCCTCATGCCCCACCATTCCTCGATTACAGCAAAATAGAGGATAAACTATACCGTTTATGTCGTGATAAAAGTGTGTTCTTTTTCTGAAAAAGCGTTCCGCACTTTGGTGGCTGAAGAAACCAGTGAGTTTGAAAGGTGTCTTACAAAAAATTATTTAAAAAGCTTGGCCATAACTTTCTTGACCAGAAAGTAGAAGGCAATCACTGTCTTTGGCTTGTGAATGCTGTTGCTTCAAAATATTTGACCATTCGAATTCACCACCACACCAAGTGTGTAAATGATAACGATCACCATTCGAAAGTCAGGCAGCATTACACTAAACTATTTCTCTTTGCTCGACAGTAGTTTATATTCATTGCTTCAAATTAATGCTTTTTGTAAATATATGTTCTGCATTATGTACGACAATATCGAATGTGCTTGTGTTTAAATGTGTGTATTGTAATGGGACGGTCGCACGCATTACGTTGCGACGCGCATTTCAACATTTTATTCAATATAACGTTGCTGTGTAGAGAGGCCTGGATATGTGCATCTTTTGCTACCTGTGAGGGTGTAGGAATCGTCGGGGACGCGGAGGCATGCAGCCCTATTGTCCTGACGAGGGCGCGCCTCAGCTGACTCGTGTTGACTCGCCGGGAAATGCGGACGCTGCTGTTTCCAAGTCCGTCTATTCAGCAGCACCTGTTCTTGGAATTTGGCTGACGTTTGCGTTTCAACGGAACTTGGCCAGCTCAAACGGTCATCAATGACGCCGCGATTGGGCGGAAGGAACCGCATGACGCGTGCTCGCCAATCGCGGAAAACGAAGCGGGGGAGGGCCACGTCGTGATCCGCAAAGCTGAGGAGGTGAGGTGACAGCAAGTGGAAGTGCCTTTCTGAAGTAGGGTTGAGAGCGAGTTGCTTTGGCTTACGCCAGTAAATGCGCTACGACAACGCACCACGCCGCCGTCCGAATGCATCATCGCAACATCGCGGGCCGCCTCTGGGCCCGCTTTAAGATAAATTAGTTATAAGTTAGTTTTAAGGAAAAGTTATAACGGGAGGCTTCACCTCTTGAAAAGGGAACATTAAATCCACATTTGAAAATACCATGTGTTTCACTGCAGTAGAACAGGAATAAGCCCTATCACGCATGCCTCCTTTAAAGAGACTACGGACTGAGTCAGTCGGGGCAGCCACTCGGTGTGAGTGGTTACAGTACATATGTCTCCCATAAATACAACCCTCGGCCAAGCCGTGGGAGACAGACATTACAAAGTAGACAGTGATGGCTAACAGGGATCTAGTAACATTAATTCTTGTAGAGATCTGTTCTTTTAATGTAGTCAATACATTTTAGTTCGAATGAATGGCGAAATTTTGTGTTATGTATAATATTGATAATTGATGTCATCGAACAGAATTTAAGTAATATTTCTACATGGACAGGGGGAATTATTTAATGACCAGTCCACCATGGTAAGTTCAGTATTTTATCTATTGCTATTATTGAAATTATGACAGCGAGAGTGGAAGCTGTCATCGAGGCTAACGGTGGGCTAACACCCTATTGAATTCCAGCATTACCGATGGTGGGCACCACGAACTGCTAAGTCATTTTCAACTACATGTCCGGATACTTTTCATCACATAGTGTTTGTTTGCTTTGAACCATTCGGAAGAAAGGAAGGTTAGAATATGTTACCATGTTACAATCAACCGCGAAGATGTGGGCCGACACCTTTGAATCTCTTCCCAATACTTAAAGAGAATTTATAGGTAAATTTTTCGCACGTTACTTGAACCACGACCAACAGACTAATTTCAAAGTTTGCTTGCTGTACGGATCCTGGCGCAAAGATACGTACCATAAGCATGCACGATAATGCTACCACTAAGCTAGGAGGAATGAAGTTATGCCCGCCAACCATGCCCGAACACGAGATAGTACATTTATTGATCAGGCATTTCCCTTCAAATATCCAGAATCTTTTGAAACATTTATTGCCCATGAATACAAAGAATCTCCGCACGCAAATCGGATAGTTCCTGAACAATTTCAAAATAATAGGGATGTTGATAATAGTGGAAAAGAAGGTCGTTATTGGGACCGATAAAGAAGTGACTCACCTAGAAACACATCTCGAAATAGGAAAATACTCAAATTGTGCTAGGAAGATTGAACCTGGGACTTCGCATCAGAATGAGACGGAAAACTAGGGAGCTTCGCACCGCCTAGTCATCCCGGGGCAAACCTAAGCTTAACTACTGGTCAAGAGGTGACAGTTTTGTCTATTGAATTTGATCCAGAATCCAGTAAGAGACAGTGTCCTCTCATCCTAGTGGAATGTTGTGGTACGATCACAACGGCCTTAGTGGAAACCGAAAGTATGTGCTCGGTCATTTCAGGTGAACTGTTCGACGAGATCATTAAGCAGGGAGTAGATGTACCCGTACTACCATTAACAAAATCCTTATTAATAGGGGCGAACAAGTAACGTTCTAGCCCTATTACAAGACAGGCCTACTTGGAAATTAGAATTAGATGCTCTCGTGTCTCTGGGCGAAAGTTGCTTGCCTTTCACCACTGAGGTTCCGGGTTCGATTTCCGTCGAATCCCCGTTGAACTTCACGTGAAATTTGTTACGATAAAACTAGTCTGTCTGCTTTACAGGGGTAGTCCCCCCGGGGGGGGACCCCTATCCTTATTCCTTCCCAATTCTGGCAGAAGACGCTACCTGTCGGAGATTCCCTGACTTGACAGCGACTGATGTGACTACGATTACTCAGCGGCCCCTAGAGCGTTAAACGGAGGATTACTCTATAGTGAGCTCAACGCTCCTTAAGGAGCTAGGAAACGCGTTGCTTTTAGACGCAACCAAAATCGGAACATCCGTATATAATGTTTGTTTGGTGGTAAGAGACGTATTATGCCCTCTGATAATCGGGATGGATTTCCTCGAAAGTCACGAGATAGTGATAGATCTGGGAAGAAACATGATCACTATTACATGACTACTATTAGTGCTGATTGCATTGCCTCGTACTGGCAAGTAACGATTGAAAAGGAATCACGGAAATACATCGGATTTATTCATAAGTGCATCACTTATGTGTTCAAGCGTATGCCTTTCGGCTTGAAGAATAGTGCGGCTGCGTTGATGCAATGCTTAGACGAAATAATCAATAAAAATATGTGAGCGTACCATCGTCTATATCGATGACGACCTAATATAAACAAAATGTTTGAACATCAGTACGAAGAGAGTAAAATTCGTAGGATTTGATTTAACCACAGAGGGAATAAAGATGAATTTAGACGAATTAAAGGAGATTGCCAAAATTGTCCCTCCAAAGAACCAGCAGCAGTTTACGAGTCTTCTTGGTTGTATTAATTACTACGTTGGATTCGACATTAGCTTTGCTCTACACACTGAAGTATTCTTATCATTACTTAAGAATCAAGCAAAGTGGAAGTAGAATGAGAAGCATATGAAGGCATTTGACAACATAAATCTTGTGTATTTGTCTCATAAATATGTATTCTTTTGTAGAATACAATACAAGAATACAAAATTGGCGCAGCAGATTCTCACTCATGTGCTGTCTAAAGCTGCGGCACGTGCACGGCTTGTGATCATAAATTTTCTCGCCTGTGCGTCCTTCCTTCACTCAAAAGTTGCTTCCAGTCTTATTCCCAGGTGCAGTCAGCATCGACAACTAATTCCCACTTTAATTATCATACATTTTCATACGCAACGCAAATAAAATGAATACAATTTTTTACTGATCTACAATTTATCTTCACTTCTTGCATCTATAAAGGAGGCCTTGACGCAAGCGTACGTAATTATTTAAGGGGAGATCAATCGCGCGTTACAGGGGGAGAGGGGGTATTCAAAACACTCCAAATTTGCGTTCCTACGAAATTTATGGACGGCCCCTGAATGTTCAGAATTTTAAAAATTAAATTTCAGTCATTCGATGCAGCTGCAACCTTCAGTTTGTTCGGACACCAGCCGCAACTGAATCAAACTATATTCCTAAGTTTTTGAATCAAACTGCCGACATTTTCGATGATGTCCAGTCTAAGTGTGGAATT